GCTCTGTGAGATGTGCTAGCTTGCTTTTGGTTGTGTCCCCATTGGGGTCAAGTAAGCCAAGCAGGGAGAGCTGGGCAAATCCTACTGAGCAGTGTGGAGGTCAAGGAAGCCACCACTGACTTGGGTATTGACGCTGACGACTAGAACAGTGACTTTCTCACGCTGCTGTTTATCAAAGAATGTTCTTCATTGCTCCGACAAGCCCCACCTCCTACAGGTATCAGGTGAATGCTCAGCTGAGGGAGAGTTATCACCCTCCCAGCCGGGAGCTATATTCCAAAGGGCTCCAGTGACATTCAGAGGGGTTCAAAGACTCAGCAAGTGGGTGAGGCTGGCTGCCCTCGGCCTCCCCATCACTAGAGTTAAAGGCAGCATTGGAACTCAGCTCTTTTGGTAGCTTTTGTTTTTTGTGTTTGCTAAAGAAACCATTAAGTACTTATTATCACAACTTAGGAAATACCCAAAGGGGAAAGGAAGATGCATATCACCAAGAGCCCCAAGCAGCCAGCACCATTTCGCTGCCCTTCCTCCGAGTCAGCCATGAGCCCAATGCAGCTGGTTTCAGCTGGCTGTTCCTACTGGTTTCATACAACTCATAGACTCCTCTGGCTCTTTTCACTGAACGCAACAGTGGAAGTAGTCCCTAGTTTTCATTTCCTCCCCTTATCATTCCATCCACGAGCCCCTGCTGAGGAGATGATCCAGGCCATCCCCAGCCACTGTTGCTGCCAGGCACAAACCTTCAGCTTCAGAGCATCAGAGTTTGTTACGCTTTTTCGATGCTAATAGGATGCTTCCCAGTCTAATCTTCCATCTCCCCCATCAAAGCCAGAGCAAGGAGAAAGAGATGTGCTCCCTCCCCAGCTTGGATGGCTGAGCAGACGCTCCGTGCCTTCCGTTGCTCCAGCCAGCCTGGAGCAAGTCTGCAGCGTGCATTTGGTGACAGCAACACCCCTCCTGTTTGATATCCGTATTTGGTTATCAGTGTGTGTCTGTCCTAAAGCTGCAGGAATCACATCCTAGAGTGTTGACTTCCATGGGATTGGGTGGTGCGTGGCCTCATCTCCAGTATGGCTGCCAAGAACAAGGCCCTGGGCTTTGCAGGCTGCATACTCTGCAGATCCCAGCACGTGCTCATCAAGGAGCAGACAGTCAGTCAGCACCCAAGGCTTTGCCACTAGTTGATTGACAGCATTAGGACGGGTCACTGAATGCGCACAATAATGGAGGCATCAGCCAAATATGACTCTGATGACTGCAAAATTCAAGTGCCTGGAGGAAGAGTTCATTTAACCCAGCAGTCATTGGGGTCCAGGGAAAGGCCAGCCTATTCCTGCAAGTTATTAAGTATCTGGATCTCTGAGGTTCTGGAATCCAATTTTCACTCATTTCCAGTGGGACTGGGTGGTGCGTGGCCTCATCTCCAGCATGGCTGCAAAGAACAAGGCCCTGGCCTTGCAGGCTGCGTACTCTGCAGATCCCAGCATGTGCTCATCTGTCCGGCATGTGACCTTAAGTTTGGAGTCAGTCGGCAAGATGCCCGCATGTGTGAGCTCTAAGGATGCAGATGTTGGGGCAGGGAGGTGAATTTACTGGGTGGATCTGCCACTCGTCTCGGGAATCAGGCTGTCTCTGCAGTGGATTTATTGTCTCATGTCTGGGAGTTGCTGGTGGGGGTGGGGGTGGGGTGTCCTGGTTTTGCACTGGAGGCCCCGGAAAAGGGAGCAGCATTTGGAGAGGAGCCGATTCTGAGGTCCTTTCTCTTGCTTCTCCACACTTGCTGGCTGTGTTGAAACTCCTGGGCTGGGCTGGGCTGAACCAGCAAGGGTTGGTCACAAGAAAGAGTGTTCACGGGCTGTACAAACCCGTACCTGCAATACCAGGCACTGGACGGCCAAACTAACAAGGCGAGATTGCTGGTTCCAGAATGTACTTTTCTGATAACCCTAATGAGAATCACCAGAGAGCATTGCCAGTCTTCAGTTTTCCAACCACCCCCCCACACACACACACTCCCCCGGAGATTCCAATGTAATAGATCTGGCTGCGAAGGCCAATAATTTGTATTTTTAACAAGGAACATGTAGGGTGCTGAGTGTCAGCCAGGGGGGTATTAGCCCTTAGCCCACGTGGCTAAATACAGAGTAGAGGGTTTCTGGGGGGGGCAGTCCTCTTCAAACTGAGGAGCAGAAGGAAAGCAGAGATAACAGTAGTCCATATTTCTTAAAAGCTAGGAGTGTAGAATTTGGCACCAGGAAAACTAAGATTTGGAACCCAAGCCTGTGTGATCTTGGAAAGTGACTTGATACCCTCAATTGGTTCATCCATAAAATAGAATAGTTGCTTTTAGGGAATAAGATTAAAAATGACATCAGATAACAAATTCAAAGCATTTTAGCACATTCCTGGAGCATGTTCAGCCCTCCATAAAGTCATCAAAACTCAAGTTCAAGGTCACCCTCGTTACAGCAGAGAGGCGCCTGCCAACTTCACGGAATCTTTTGGCCTCTTTCTTCTCCTTCCCTCACATTCTCCCTGGCTCTTTCTCACCACCTCCTCCTTTATATGATCAGGGGATGTTTTTATAAAGGAACTGCTTGACTCTAACGTGGCCACAAAGCAGGACTAGCATGCTTTGGTGGTGGGAGAGTAAGTGACCCACCTGGGGAGAGGCCTGATCTTGTCAAAATATCAACAAGGACAATGTAGTAGATAATAAAATAAGGTAGCGCTAAGCCCCAATGAATTGCAAATCAAGATGGGATCCAGCCTGTCCCTTTTCTTTTTTAGCAAGATTAACAAAAATTTCTAAGAATAATTGTCGATTCCTGGATTGTTTCAAAACTTGACAGTGCCTGGGCTGGAAGGAACTTGTCCTTACCTGCTCTGGCCTGCTACGCACTGGATCACAGAGAGAGGAGCTTAGGGCGC